AAATGAGCAAGAACGCTCATTTGTACGTCATTCTAGAGAGAAATAAATGACCTTTTTAGCAAGTGAACCATCGATAAGGAAATGTTGGCAGTTTTTTTTCAAAAAATGCTTGAATTCAAGAAGTTTTAGATTTGTGTGGTTTTTTTTTGAGTTACAAAATCCACTTGAACATGACGCTGCTTTTTTCGAAGTTTCTCAAGAACTATTCGAGCAACAAAATTCGTTTTGGCACCGTTGGATAGAGAATTGAATGGGGGGTCATGACCCCCATGACCCCCCCTTCCTGGATCCGCCCTTGACAGAGCGTCTCAAAGCATGTCTGAAAATTTTCTTCGGGCTTGAAGGTAAGTAACTGTTTTTCTTCCTTCTGTTCTATTTCGCATTGGGAAATGAAAGAGCCCAAAAATAAGTAGAAAAGTTCATATAAACATACAACCTCAAAAGCTCTGTTTCCGATATACAGGGTGATTGATCAAATTAGGAATTTTACTTTAGTTTTTCGTTCTTGTGGTTTTTGAGATATTTGCTTGAAAATTGGCGCCCAGGCTACGCTTTGGTAACGACTTCAATGAAGCAAGCGCTTGTTTCAGTGTACAGAGCGATATTTTTGGGGTTTAAATCCTCTTTTACTTCTCAGGGCTGTGGAGCGCCACTGTTATCTAATGACAATTTTGTTTAATTTGAACAAATTAACATTTCTTGCTTGCAATTTTTGCGCACCTGCCCCGGGTTTCGAGTTATTTGCAAAAAATTCTGCTTTGAAAACTTTCACGAATGAGAACGAGACCAGAAAGTTGGTTGGTTTCACAAAAAAATAGAAAACACTGCTAGTCAGTGTTCCGTGAATTCCACTAGCTACGTTCCAAATTTGAGGCAATCATCCAAAAAAATTGAACGAAAAAAGCAACCAGTTTATCATTTCTCCCTGTAACACCCTTGCAAATGCAAATTTGGCCTGCATTAAACATGAGCGGAAGTAAAAAAGCGGAAACCTACGAAACACTAGCATTGACACAGTGTTCCACTATGGCCTTTACCTTTACTAAGGCTGAAGGCCATCCGCTATCACTGTGTAAATTTCAGTACTTCCAGGCTGACAATTCAAGTGCGAGTTGAGAATAGTGTATTTTTTTATTTTTGAATGCTGATTTCGCTGCTCATTATCAGGCTCGGTCGGTGACATTTTATTTACGGCGCCCCACTTACGTCAGGCTACTACGTCAACCAAAGTACATAGTATGTTATGCGGGTATAATAGCAAAAAATTGCGGTTTTTGGGTAAATCATGCCCAATTACTTTGGTCCATTAATAACAGCCTGTTTTCGCGTGCCTTAATAATTATGTAGCACAAGTAATCAAATGTTACTAGTGTTGATAAGCGAGAAAGGCCAAGTGCTGCGTTCCAGAATTATTTTTTAAGAAGCGATAATTCACTTTTCTGCTGATGGTTTAATTAAATCATGCAGTCTACGTGTAACTTCAAGCAAAGGAAAATCATCTGGACATCGAGTTATACAAAGTGTTCTCAAATGAAAACTGGCAGGTTGAAAAAAAAAATAGGCAAATTATAGGCCTGCCCCTGTGAAATAAGCCGGCATTAGTATGGGTTCAACCGTAAAAGTAAATTTTCTGAAATCTTTGTATATTTGGGGCTTTAGATTAGATAAAATGTGCTTCTAGAACGGCGCAATTGTTGTTGGTCCAAAACAATAAATAATAAAAATTAATAGTAATAATAAATGAGTTCAAAAAAATGAATATCCGTCTAAAACAATCAAAACATAACCCAAAACTGTCATAGCATAAATTAAACTCAGCTGGCGTTATTAATGTCCACAGAATATCTCCCCCCCCCCCAATAGGGGGGATGTTATGTGTTTATGTCACGGTTTCGAAGTTTAGTGAAAAGGTTAGTAGTAAATCGCGGCTTTTCCAGAAAATTTCCGCAATCCAGACCAAATCAACAACTACCTAATCCACTAGTTTATTGAATCACGCCAGATTTCACATAATTTCTTGATAATCCTTATCTCTCGACTATGAACCTTGTCGAGGTCATTTTGCAACGATTGTGCATTCATTGGATCAACCTCTGATGGTGGTAAAGTAATTCAGTCTACCTACTTTTATGGTTTTCTATTTCGGCAAAGTAATCAAGCCGGTTGTAGATTGCGGTGGTAAAAAACCAAATTGAATTCCATGGAAAAAAGGGCAAGCATTCCAAGGCCTACAACTGGCCTGCCAGGCCAGACTGCAACGATCACAACAGTCACAGCCGGAAACAATTGTCGTTTCAGGTATGCGAAGTCAGTGTTTGCGTTTTACGTTGCACAATTAATGGGTTCCTCGTCCAGGTCAAGCAATTAAATCGTTTAAATATCGTGCTCGAATTCAGATACCGCAAGGCAATGATGTTGCAAAAAATGCTTCCAGGGTTGCTAATGGCATGGAAATCTAGGTCATATAACATTACCATTTACCAGTTTTACCACTGTTAGATCAGAACCGGCAAATTCGGAAAACTTACCAGAGGATGCGCTTGAATGTCTCGTCGGTAGCCCATCGTTGTTAAGCGGTAAACTCGCGAGCAACTTCAATGTCTGATAGCGCACGTTACAGTGAATCAAGTGAGATAAAAAAAAGTCAGTCACAAAACGTAAACGTCTACAAACTGCTAGCTGAACGACTCAACTCGCGCCCGCCAACCTAAAGTGAAAACCATTCAATAACCGAAGTGGGCGCGGGACGGGAGGGGCTCACGGGCCCCACAGATACGTCAGGCGATTGGCTGACGTGAGAGGTGTGGCGCGCTTGCCCCTAAGCCTCCAACAGGCCACCCGGCCGTTATATGGGGGACATAATGCAAAGGTCACGCACGTTTCGCTATATTCCTGAAAGTTGTGCAATTGGTGCACCACTTGCGTGACTCAGACCGCGTAGACTTTGGATCATATTGTGTAGTATTGTGAAACTAACCAGAGTCAGAGACGAGAGAACAAAACTGCCAGAGTTGATATGGTCTCTTAGTGAACTTGCAGCACCTCTTTTTGCCAAGCATTCCACAGAAGACTCATTAACTAGTCACTTTTGGCTAGCCAATCTGCCTTGATATCTTAGTTGCTGCGTGAGGACGTAGATAAGTCTCGAATGCGGTTGCCAAATCTAAAAGATCTTAATGATTCCTTCCCTATTTGGAACCGTGGCGTCCACATTTTTGCTTCTATTTCTTTAGACGTTAGGTATTTCTAAAAACTTTATTTTCTGGCAGACAGTTTTTGAGACAGACTATTGAAAAGGTTCTATTCATTAGTGCGATATTTCGAACCGTAGCTGGGATACGAGTGAAAATCTTCAGCAATCCATCAAGAATGGCTCTATTGCTTTGGGGGTTAGCAATTTCGCTTGACACATGAGGAGAAAAAATAGGTCTCGAAACGCTCAATCGAAATGGTTCTTATGGCTGATCAGATATTTTCGACCGTTTCTGAGATATCCGACTTCTACGCATTTTTTAAATGTTTGCTTCGATCTTTTTGGAGGTTTGGAATTCTCATCAAACCTAATTGGTGACAGATAGTTCTTCAGACTGACTATTGAAAAGGCCCTAACCATTATTGCGATATTTCTAATAGTATCCGAGATACAAGTGAAAATCCATTCACTGAACATTTCAACAAAAGTGGGTTTATTTCCGTGGGAGGTTAGTAATTTCACTTGACATCTGAGGAGGAATAGAAAGGTCTCGAAACGCTCATTTGAAATTGCTCTTATGAATGACCAGGTATTTTTGCTCGTTTCTAAGATACACAGCACTACACATTTTGTTTTTGTGTTTTTGCTTCTATCTCTTTAGAGGTTAGGAATTTCTTATCAAATCGAATAGGGAAAATACAGTTTACGAGACAAGCTATTGTTGGATATTTCAAACCGTGCCTGAACAATACGGCGCGAAACTTTGAGGTCATCCAAATTGTTGATATTTTCGCTTTAGACTTACTAATAAAACCCAATTGGTAAAAGCCAGTTCTTCAGAATGGCTACTGAAAAGATGCCCCAAAAGGGACGCCGTTTTTTTGGTACCAAAAGTTGAATTAATCCTTTTTCAGCAGCGCTTTGGAACTTTTTTGTCAATAAACTTGCGCTCTGCAACGCTAAACAAACTGGTTTCCTCAGTGCACACATTTTTATGGCTTTAAAGTGTAATTGGCTTTATGGGAAAGCTGAAGCTTAAATGTAAATAAAAACGGAAAAAAGCTACCAACTAGCCCCAAGGAGATTTTTAAAAAGCTGAAAAATACTCTGGAGAAGTCCCAGAAGAAAAAAACAATTGTTTCTAAGAGTCCGAACTTTTCAAATAAGCAGGAAAAAATGAAAAGAAAACATTTATGCCCGCTGCAGGGAAGAAAAGAAGCCAAAAGCAAAGGCAAACAAAAAAATATGTACAGATAATTAATCATTTAATACAGGTATATAATTTCCTTTTTACATGGTTATTTCCACATTAGCAATTAATTTACAATTTACGCAAATATTCTTTATCATAATCACTAATCGCTTTTTAAGCTTACCGTCTTTGAAACCGCTGGCATTGTTACCGTTCGAATTTTTGCATTCACTTAGAGAAAAAAAAACAATTAATTTGATCCTGAACTGTACACTTGCTTTGCTATGGGAAAACTGATTACAAAAAAGCTGTACGCGAGTTAATAAAATGGCTTATATGGGACTTCCCAAACAATTTCAGTTATTATATGGATTAGTGGCTTTAGGTGTGTAGTAAAATCATGCCTAATCTACATGGGGATTCTCCTTTCAGGTGTGCTAAAGTTGTTTGTGCATTTATTTTTAGTCGAAACATTATTAAAATTAATGATAAATTATCAGTTTCCTGACCAGCATTATTTAGTACTGCCGGTAATTGGGATGCAAATTATCAATTTATTTTGAAACCGCAATATGTTTTCCATTGGTCAAGCAGAACCACTGAATGCTATGGAAAAATCAACTCTTGTAAATTTTCACTTTTTCTCTGAATTAATTATCGTAATAGCCCATGTATCTAAAGGGGATTGATGCCAGATAAATTATTAAATTGATTAAAGCGACGAATTTGCCGCACATTTGAGTAGGTCTGGCCTGGATTACGCTTATAGGCCGTTCACGAAGGCCAGCGAAACATGAGCGACGTCACGTTGCCCCACGTCATGCATAATTTCCTTCCAAGAATCGCCGCATCGATGTCGCTTTGCCCCTTTTTTAAGTTAAATAAGGGAATGTGGTGTAAAACACGTATAATCAATTGTTCGGTAATTTTTCTGCCTCCGTGTATACCAGCAATGCGATATCCATAGAAAAATGGTACCAGTCTTTAACATATCATTTGATCTGGATTTGGTGGTTTGCCAATCGATCAATCAAGCAAGCTTTATGGACGGTTGGTTTAAGCTGCAGATAAGATTTGGTTTATGGAACGCAATTGCTATAATCGCGAATTACCCTTAAAAGAACGAGTCGAAAACATTTATGTAGGTGAATGTTTGTTAATTATTCCCCAACATGCATTAAAGCCAACTAATAGCACATTGATAACGACGTGATGAGGTCCTGTTATATCTGGTTTAAGTGTGAGATTCTCTTGATCCACGCCAGTTAATTTTCAGTAATTAACACACTATATGGAAAGATATGTATGTTGTTAAAAGCCATTATATCAGTTGAAAGTTATCAAAACCACAAGTTTTTTAAGCTGTTTGTTGTTGGTCTAGCAATATTACACACTTACATATACACGGTGGTCAATTTTATACATACAGATTTTGAGAGATATTCTCGCTTGAACAGTAGTTGTGGGATTTGCAAGTTTTTTCGGTTTCACAGTGTGCAAAGGGCGTAAAGCATGAACGAGAATGATTCTTTTTTGTATCTAGGTATCTATTTTCTATCCTAATCCAGATAGGAAAGTTTAATTACCTATGGACTGTTTGGTTGAAGCGACTCGTCCAGAAAATGCTACCAACTACTGACGCTCTCTGATTATTATATCTCAAAGTATTTTTCGAAAAAACGAGTTTTTTAATCTGCACGATGTATTTAGAAAATCACTAGGTATTTATTCTCCAGAACCGCACAGAACAGTTTTGTGTGTCCCAAAAATATCACATTTTTGATCTGATCACTCCTCCACGTCCAGAAAACAATTTTTGCCTGTTAGGTTTAATCACGATTCCTAACCTCTAAAGAGATAGAAGCAAAAATAGGAAAACTAAAATGTAAAAGGGCTTGTATCAGAGATGAGACATCGAAAGACTTAGGCCTGCAAAAGCACATTTTCGTTTATATCTCGCAAACGATTAAAAATATCGGAATGATGTTAGAAGCTTTTTGATAGACAATCTCCAGAACTATGTTTCATGATTTGGGTTTGATCGGAAATTCCTAACCTCCAAAAAGATAGAAGCAGAAAAAGTGAAGACTGAAAAAAATCGCTCTACGCCTTTTGAGTCTCAATTTCCAACAATTTCAATTGTGCTTCGGAAACGGTTGAAATTATCTGAAGAATCCTTAGGAGCTTTTTGAGAGGCTGTTTTTGCGTACTGGAAAATTAGAGGAATTCCTAACCCTTAAAACCTTGGATGGAATTTTTTTTCATTTTTACGAGGTTGGGGAAATGTAGAAGCTTCTATCTCAGGAACGGCCGAAAATATCTGAATAACCATTAGGACCTTTTCGATAGAGCGTCTGGAGAACTCTCTTTGCCTCTACGCGTGCGAAGAAATTTCCCACATTATGATAAGAAATTGGCGCAAAAATATTTTTACGCTTTCATACACGTCTCGAAGATTAGGGCCTTTTGGGTTTAAACCTGCTTCAATGCATAAACAATGCAGACACTCAAAGGCACAAAATGGGGTATCTTAAACATTTCTTATAGTTAGCTACTTTACCTCAGGAGTCACGAAGGACATTAAGTCCACCTTCTTGCACTTCATAGTGAGCTGATGAATCAATCGCAACGTTCTTTTGCCAGTTAATTGTATGCGCAATTTTTTCAAAATTGCCTAAACCCAAGTCGCGGTATTCTGGATTAGTCCAGCACTGAGAATCCAGGGTCACCTTCAAGATTTTACCATAGACAGTCCCTATCAGTGGGGCGCAAGACTGGGCAAATACTCCCCTCAAACGATCGATAGAGAGTTCAGCACCGGAATCAGAAGAGTAGTGAAGTTTCAACGGTTCAGTTCTCAGAAAAATTGCAAAGGATCAGAAAAGCCTTCGCTATGTCGCCCAAAGTTTCCAGTTTAGTACGGTACAACGCCCTCAAGAGGAATGCATTTTTGGGTTATTCGCTTTCTTAATTACTTAGTGAATTTTACATGTACGACCCTGGCAAAGTTCCAGCCCTCTATTTAGGGCAAAGTGCAGCCACACCCCCCGGAATTCCCGAATTTTCTACGTGTTTTTCTCCACCCTATTCTGACGTCATTGAACTGAGGGGTTGTTTGGGCGGCTCTAGAAAGTCTCGTCGGAGGAGGAGGAAAATTGAGGTCACGGACACGTGCACAAAATACCACGCAGTAAATCAATGTTTATGTACCTCGTTTGATACGTTACTTCTTACGGCATGCTCGTATTCTTCTCCTTGCTGAGGGCCATGATCAAGTTCCACCCTGCCCAAATCGTTGAGAATGGTGATGACTCTTTTGATACGCATCTTAGCACTCTCACTGTTCAATTTTTCACACTCGAATGATCTGAATCTATTGGGTATCTGCGTAATTGGTAATTGGTGGTCTAATTGACGCCAATTAAACAACAGTTAACGATAAATGTGGTCTCTGTTCGCTACTTATTGACTGGTTCGGGATTTCGAAGCGACTAGAAGACACTCCACGAACATTTTGGAGCAATTAAGTTCTCGTTAAGTCAAATTCAAAAGGGAAAGTTGAATTCGACTATACGGTCCTGGTTTAATTCTATTCTTAATCTAGACCGAATAATCGTTTTGGGTTCTCTAAATGGTGCGCATTAGTGTCGAGCTCTAAATAGCTGATAAATTCGTCTGAGAAGAACGATTGAAGATTTATTAAACGTCCAGCTGATGTTGTAAACTTGTCTTTATCTATGTTAAAACGCGTATATGAAGAAGACTGATAAAATGTCCAATCACTGTGTTGCTTTTAACCTTTCTTATCAACTTCAGATGAAATATTTAGATATATTCAACATCAACTAGAGTTCACTTTAGTTGATTGGAAATGGTTTGCAGTTTGCGACTAAGACCGAGTGCGAGAAGAAATCTCATTAAACGGCTTTTCTTATGCGTATCTAAACAAATATTGCATCTGCATAATTTCTCTACATGATGAGTACCTATTTTAGGATCCTAACTTCTTGCGTTTCGTAAGGTCATCTACAGGGTGACCCTAACAAGTTTGCATGTTTACAAATGCTTTATAACAACCTCAAGCGCCTCGCTTTCGTTATACGAGGTCTCAAATATGTTTTTTTCTGTTTCCGACTGAATACCTATACGTATATTTTTTGTAACTCCATATTTTTGCTAACGGGTTTTGAAAGTGGGACTTAATTGCCTTATTTTGCGCAGTACCCAAATGGTTCCAAAACAGTTTCGGGGTTCAAAACGAAAACCATTCAAATCCGTTTATCTGAAGAGTTAATTTTTTAGTTCTCTCAAAGACTCGGTACATTTTGAACTTGAAAGCTTCATTATGTAAAGCCAATAAAATTCGCTTGCAGTGAAAGGCCGACATCTCTATGCCATCATAAAAAAATACCGGGCTCCAAAGAAATACAAAAATATTTAATATTCCTGAGTAGTTTAGTTGGGATGGCCAACCTTTTGAGTAGTTTAGTTGGGATGGCCAAGCAAAAGTTGCTACGTGTTTTATCAAATCTTATAGCTACTTTTTTAGCAGTAAGATACGTTTTTTCAGAAGCCAGTGGCGTAGATTTTGGGGATGAGTGAGATTATTTGCTCCTAACTTTCGCGAAACGAACTAAAAATTGCGATTTTAAAGCAGATTTTTTACTAAAATATCAGTTGTTTTAATATGTATTTTCAACTGTGCTTTGCACTTTTTACTAATGTTTCTCATTACAAAAAATTATTTATACGTATCTACTAATAAAATAAAATAAATATTCACGCTCATAAAGTGGGTAGCTACGAGTTTAACATTATCATTCATCTCAAATGGTTCGAAAATCTAGATTTTCTTTATTTATTCCGCCGTTTTGCCTGCAGTTGTAAAGTTTCTAAAGCATTTTGCCCGTGAATTCCGCGCTTTATGTGTGTATTGAAATCAGGATTTTTAAACAGTTTTATTGCATTTTAAGCATCGACATGGGGAATGTTGTCATATGTTTCAACCGCAAACCATAGAACAAGACCGCAAACTTAGAAAAATCCCTAGCGTACCGATCCGACATAATTTGCCTCGATTGTACATATACAGAGCGCACATGTATTTCAGAAATTCCTGATCGTCATTATAATTCGCATGCCAATGTTTCACCTCACATTTCATAAATAGGTTTTTACCATTGACATTGGAAATCATACATAATGTAACAGGCGTGTGTATAAAATATGGCTAAAATAATCAGCGGCCGACTATTGGCAAAACGCTTATGTAACTAATAGAGAGTGGAAGTGTAGAAAAAAAGGGGACATATGAATGCTGCAAATATGTGATTTTTTTATGTTCAAAGTGGCGCCAATTTTTTTTATACTGCTCGATCGCACTAGAACACAAAACTATAAATTAGAGCCTCAAGTTTACTTACAGCGCTTTGCTGGGCGTCTGCCATTTCGCCCCTTTCTTCAGTGTGTTGACGCTAAAAGAAAAAAAAAGTCACGACACGATAATCGCGGAACGTTTATATAAGCAAACTAAACCGCACCAACGCTTCTGCCAGAGAAAAATCACATTGGAAACACTGATGCGGATTGGGGTATTTATAGTTTTCGGGTCAATAAGTGTTTCGACATCGGTTTTGGACTTATCACTAAAATGTAGTATTATTTATTCAATTTCTTCAGACTTTTTGATCATAATTTGCCAAGCGCTTTATAGCTCGCAACGCCAATAAAGATATTCGCCAGGTTGTTTATAACTTCAAAAATAACGGTATCGTTCCACAAAGGTGCAATTAAGCGTTTATATTGTTTCAAGATAACCCAGCGGTATAATAGTACGAACGTAATAGCAAACAATCATTATTACTCAGCTGAATTAAACCGGGCGACAAAGTAGCAAAATCTATTTTGCATTAGTAACCGATTAAGCATTTAGAAGTAAAAATGCATTTGAAATTAAAAATTTCATAGCCAGAAGAAAATGTATCCAGCAATATTATCTGGACATAATGGTGGATTCTTGGTTTTGCATACAAATGCACCGGGAAACACCAGGAACTTTTAATCAGACTTGGAGTTTTAGATTTGAGAAAAAAGCAAATAATAGAGGTGCTTAAATGATTAAGTTGAAAAATGCAGATTTACAGCAAGGGCGCAATATAAAATATTGCGGAAGTATTGGTAGCACCTACGCTATCTGGACATAATGGCGGAAGAATATGCCTTCAAAAACACCGAGGTCTTGACACGTTCAACTAATAATGTAGTGCATGATTTGAAGAAAAGATTGCAAGGACGCTGCCTAAAACAGAGAGGTATAAAAAAGAAAATACATCCAAATAATAGTTTAAAAAAAGTACTAAAAATGCAATTTATACCAAACGTCTTCCTATATTAGCGAAACAAATTACTTACTCAATATACAGATATAATAAGCATATAGAATATCCCTAAATTCACACTAGGGTCAGTAAGATGTAGTTTACTGGGGCCGTCCCCACAAAGTCGGAAGTTTAAATATGATAAAATTATTGTTTTATTATGGAGTATACAAAACTTTACAAGGAAATTAATCAAATTCACTTTAAAAACAGTATTGTAAATGCCATCATCGAACATGCCGCTGCTACCCAGGGCGACTTTCTTTCGCCTATCCTTGCACATTTCCAGCAAGTCTTTAGTATACTGAAAGAAAACCCGCTTTTAGCTGAAAATCTATACGATAAGAGTCTGTTAAATACTGACCCTGTCCTGCTTTTATCGAACACTTTTGGAAAGAACGACTTCAAGTAGGAACAAGTACAAATCACTAGTAGTACCACAGTGAGTAAGCTTTGTAAGTTAAATAACGCCGACTGAAATCATTCAATTGAAAGCAAGTCACATTTTTAAGCGAGTTTCTTACCATTTTTCTTGATTCTCCTGCAAAAGAGAATCGCAACAGACGAACTTTTACATTTAGTTTGTTTTTACAGAAGCAGGTTATGTGGCTCTTGTCAAAATCAAAATGACTATGAACATAGAAACTGGGGCAACATTGCAGCGGAAAATTATGTTCTTAGTTTTTTACCCCAAAAAATTATAATTCCTCCCGATGATTAGGTTGTTATTATTCAGAACTAATAATGTAATTAAAAAAAAATTATTTGTGGTATTCAACGAGAAAAATTGCTTTAAAGTTCGCCCACTGGCAATGTTGTTATATGTTGATCAATTGTTAACTCGAATGTTTTGTTGTCGTAGTTGTCAATATGGACATTTGTTTGGTTGTCAGTGTCAGATGATTTGCTTTACACTAATAAATACTTAATGGCTTATTACAATTCCTGAAATAGTATAAATTATTGTGAATTAGTGACCGAATTACGTGCCAAATCGAACTATCGATCAAATATCACCATTATTGAATGCTGCATAGAACACGTCATTGTTTCCTAAGTGACATTCACATTGTAGCTAATTTACCGAAGTGGGTAAGTACACTTGCACAATAACATCATTATTTAGATTCGCACCAGCTTGTGGCATATTTTGATCTAATCATATAATCAAACTTAAACACTTGAATCCAGTAGACATGGCTTCAAGCAGTTCGGAAGTGAAGGAAAGCACTAGTAGAGGAGACGGAGGAGATAGACCAAACACGAAAGAGGACGATAGAAAAGAGGACAATCTACTTGAATGCAATATATGTCTGGATACGGCTAAGGATGCTGTGGTCAGTTTATGTGGCCATCTGTTTTGGTAATTTTTCGAATCGTACTAATTGCATGAGACTCCAGTAAGCAGAAATGTATCTTCAGCTGGCCTTGCTTGCATCAGTGGCTTGAAACTAGACCAAATAGGCAGGTATGTCCTGTTTGCAAAGCTGCAATAAGCAGAGATAAAGTGGTGCCATTATATGGAAGGGGAAGCACGCAACAACAAGATCCTAGAGAGAAAGTGCCCCCAAGACCGGCAGGTCAAAGAACCGAGCCTGAATCTGGAAATGGCTTTTCAGGTAAAACGTTTCTTTCAGCCCCCAGTTGCACGTCTGACGTGATTGTTGCAGGCTTTGGCTTTGGGGATGGAGGTTTTCACATGTCTTTCGGGATTGGAGCGTTTCCTTTCGGGTTTTTCACCTCAACTTTTAACTTCGGAGAGCCAAGACCGAATGTGCCTGCACAAGGGACCCCGCAGTATATGGAAGAGCAGTTTTTATCTAAAGTGTTTCTATGGCTTGCTCTAATCTTTATAGCCTGGTTATTATTGGCCTAGTATCAGTCATTGGATTCAGTGTAAGTCAGCGATATCATTGATTGGTAGTTTTGTTAATTTGGTGAACTTTGGTAAATTGATTTGGCAAAGGAAATTTTGTAAATAGAGGTTTTCCTTTTCCCGTCTACTTGGGCTGGAACATATAAAGCTTTAATTAAAACGATATGTCGCAAAGTTACATTCCAAATGTTCGCGTAGATAAACACTGATCAAAGTTACACTTGGCTGGAAATGTGATGGTCTAAGGATCTCTGAGAGTTGAATAATTGAGGTTGTTCATTCAAATCACTACTATCTTCTATGTAAATGCCTCCTTACTTTTAGGATAAATGTGCGCCCTTTCAACATTATTTTGGTAGATGTGCAATTGTTAGAATAGGATCTAGATGTTATATATAAACCTATAAAACACACTGTTTCATTGTTGGTCAAGCTGCTAATTTAACAAAAGTTTCAGCAGTTTTCTCAGTGATTATGTGGCATATGTCAAGTCTAATAATTGCAAATATATAATGGTTGTTAATCTGTTGTTTTCAAAACCCATGTGATCGCCTTTTTCTCTAGAACCATTGAATGAATTGCACCGCTCCAATATTTTACGTTTAATATAATCAATCTGCGTAAGAAAAACATTTTGTGGCTTCCTAGCTAAGAATGTTTTGGACCTCAAATACTATTATCATGTTCCCAAGCAAGAATTGTGTTCATATTGGCGATGTTCTTGGTACTCCATGGTGCTAATGGATCAGGAGAACTACTCGACTCGTCCGTTTGCTGTTTAAGCGCCGAGTCGGACTTGTATGGTCTTTGCTCGGATATAGAAGGCGCAACCCTAAATATACAGCCTGAATAAACATCCAGAAACTGAGCGAATAAAGCTGATCTTGCCTGTTGGTTTTCCCAGTTTTCGATCGTTTTTTCTTCCTTTTGGGCTTCTGGTTTTGTGACTGTACGAGTTGGCCATCGCCGTTATCCTTCACATGTAGAACATCTTCAGCTAAACTAGTAGAACTACAGCAAATATTTAATACGTTGCACGAGAGTAACAATTCGTAAGGACAATCAACTCCTCTAGTTCTTACATAATATCGTTTTCGTCCTTCATTGCCACGTCGATGTTAATGGGCCTCACTTTGCCAGGGTTGTTTTTCAGTTCATCCTTGACGCTCCGCATTCGATCCTCTGCGTAATCTGTTGGTAGAAGCTTAGTTAAGCACAAAGAAGTTACAGCTTTTGCAGCTTTGCGTACCTAAATTTTTTTGCCTTGGCGTTTGACCAGGATCTTCACGTGGAGAGGCTTCCACTGAACTAGACTCACTTGAGACGATGAGTTTCTTTTTATCTAAATTCCTTTTCCTGTTTGCAGAATGTCGCATATGTATCAGTCTGGCCCTCTTCACCCGTGATATTGTCCCCAGCAGCACTTCTGCAATATTTCAAAGTCTTTGACTGGAAATGCGTTGAAATGCCGTGGCACTTGCCTCCGAAGCTCTCGCTATCGCTGCATTCCAAAACGGCATATTTTTTCTTCTTCACTTTCTCCTCAATTTTCTTCACAAAATTGCCAGTCCCTGCAAAAATTCCTGCGAGGTTCTTCACGGAAGTGGTGGCCGTATTTGGGCATGAGACGATCTCGGCAGTATCAGGCAAATTGGCTGCTTGTGCAGCCAAAACGCTCAATCTGGCTGAATTGGTCTCCACTAGAGACTCCAAAACCAGAGTTCTTAGAGGGTCCGTAAAAGGCTGAAAAACAGTCGTTAAAGCAAGTGAATGTTAAGAAAAACTGGTAAAACCTGTTGAATCATGTTAGGTCCAGCTTGGTTCGGTTTAGGGCTTCGAGGAGGGTCTCTAACAGCTTGTGAGGCGGACAATTGCCCCAAAGTGCCCAACATTGAAACGTCTAAGGAGAGTTAATGTGATAAAAGCTGGGGTTTATACGGAAATCCTTTGTGTTTACCTGAAGGAGCGGGTTGAAAACGGGCGTTGCCTTGAGCGGGTAAGAGTGGCATTTCAGTCGTTGCTACCTTAGGATTTAGAGTTTGTTTTGCTAAATTTAGGCCTTGAGCATTAATGTCCAAATCGTGGGTAAACGCCATTACATCCAGAGCAGAAGTTAGAGCATCCCCGAAGCCATTGGCCAAGTCTGGGCCTTGGGGGTTTGCCAAAGGGTCTCTTTTAGGCCTAGATTGAAGATGAAGAATATTTTTCGCAAACATTCGTTCCATTATCTTACTTCGGAGCTTACCCTTTTACTTTTACCGGCGTGTTAATTGACTCTCGCCCCCACATTAGGCAGCGCATCTCTTCCCCAGTCATCCCTTTTTTCTTTAGCGCTTTTATTGTAACTTTTCCCACTCTCTGAAATGGGGATGTTCTGGGAATGTTTACTGGGGGTGTTCAAATGCTTTACCTTCCAATTGCTGACTGCTCCCTTTCGTTGTTTGGCTCTAGTTTTGTTTTTCGATTTTATCACCATCACTCCTCGTTGTTCGGTTGCTGGATCTTCAGCTGGTCCCAAGGATATGCTATATTCCTATAGAAATATTTAGATATTTAGTTAAATCAATGGTAAAGTTATTTATTTCGATAACTTTTTGGTATGTCTTATGTTTAAATTTTAACGCCCTGATGGGTCTGACCTGTAGGTAATTATGAGCCTCCTTTTGTGGGATGGCCCTTTCCAAGGAAATTACGATTTTCGCCCATTGTTTTACCCATTCCTTTTCACTCTGTTCGGTAACATGAGCGTAAGTGTTTCCCATCATGGCAATCAACATGTTGAAGAGCAATATTGGGACGAATACCATGAAAAGACCGAATACGGACTTGGCCACACCTGGATATGTTGTTAGCGCCAGTTCAGAGTACTACAAAAAAACATTTTAAGGAAAATACCCTTTTTAAGTGAACATAAAAACACTATTTGGCGATTGAAAAATTGATCACTTACATCGTAATTTCCCATTGTGACTTGAAACAGTGCCATCCAAGTGGAGCTGTAGCTGTGATACAACGTGCCATTAACGCTGGGATTTCCCTTGTACAAGAAGAAAAGCGACTGGGAAAAACCGAAAAGGAAAATTGTGTAGATTATTCCAAAAGTTAGCATGTCCCCGGTGATCATGCTGTAGATCATTGTGACGAATGGTCCGGTTAAGCGAACAGCACTGGAAAAACAGGCACTTTTCTTTATAGAATAGTTTGGAAGCTATCACTTACCCGGCAAAAAACATGAGCAAAAACCAGGATCCGGGCACAGCAAAGATCAAAATTGTTTCTTCCAACCCTCGGTTTCCGGCCAGTCTACAAGGGATGCATGCCAGAATCATCAAGTTGGACACTAAGAAAATGCACTTTGGCGGGGAATTTGTCTGAAAACAACTTTATGCTGGATGCTCTCAAATGATCAATATTTCAGGATCGAATATGCAAAATTGTGTTTATTTTGAAGCAATTTTCTTTCGATCAGCCAATATACACTTAAAGAAGCGCAACTTACTTGTTGTTTCAAAAAAGAGAGAAATCCTTGGTTCCTTATTTCGTCTCCCTGCTGTACAACAACGTAACTGAGCACATTTAGTAGCGTCCCAATTTCAGCAGTAAATCTACAAAACCCCAGTAAAACCTCTGGATTCTCTTGGAAAAGCCGACGATACCGAATGATAACTGTAGGATCGTCGGACCATTCCAGTAACGGTTCGTCCGGATCATCAGGCCTCATATACACAGCCAGTGACATAAAAGCTAGATGAACTATCAGGATAATTAAGCGTTTGAGGAACTGGTTCCGAGCAAAGGCTTTCCATTTTTCCTCCAGCAGTCTTTGAATGATGCCTCCATCTGGAATCAAGGGTTTTTTCGGAGATTGTTATCCAAAAGCTATCAAAGGATTTTACCCAACATATCGAGATGCGCCTCCTTGGTGCCATTGAGGATAATGAACAGGGCAGAGTTCCAATTGGTGCGACCATCAGGCAGCAAAGTGTCCAAAGCGTTCAGAGTATACGCCGAACATGTAATGTTGCTGTATCTCCAAAACTCTTTGCAGGACAGTTCCAACATCTCCCTGAACACTTCCGCACGACCTGAAATATTCTATATGGAAAAAATTGGTTTTAAAATCGTATTATTGACCTAGTTTGCAGGCCAAAGTGAGTGGAGTCAATCCAGCTTTGTTAATAATCCCATTACTAGCCGGCAGTTTGGGATGTCGAAGCGCGTAGCCAAACATATCCTGAAAACTAATAGGAATCAATGTGGGAAATCAACAGTTATTTTAACGCCAATCTGGCTTAGTTTTAAACTGACCAATTTATCGCAAACGACCACCATATGAAGGATCATGTTGCCGAAATTGTCCTGCAAATCTGGATGAGCGCCGCTGTCCAGAAGCAGATTGTAGACGCTTTCGTTGGCACAACACGCCGCCCAAGCCAGTGGATACTCGCCCAAATAAGCCAAACCTTCGTAGTCTGTATGCTTAGCTGGTCGCTGTTTTTGCTGATCTCTCGGCAGAAAAAAACTACCTGTTAGAACGGTTTTTTGCGTTAATTTTGCCGGTTTTATCAGCGATTTGCTTACCGATAGCTCGTTGGTTCACGTTAGCTCCAGCCTCAACTAGGTCCTGGACTAGTTCGTTGTTGCTGTAGGCTATAGCTAGGTGAAGAGCACTAGCCCCTGAAATTTGAAAAAAAATGATACAGAATGATTTGAAAATAGTGCCATTTTATGGAAGGTTGTTTTTAATATCAATGTTTGAATTGTCCGTAGAGTCCGAAAGGTAAAAATTGGAGGAAATTAATCTTTTCTACCTAAGTACTCTTCTCCCTCGACAACATCAAGCGCCAGTTTCGGGAAGCATTTAATTAACGTTCTTGCCAGTCTGGTGTGGATTTTGCTGTCGCAAATAATGAGCAGATGGAGCAGGGATTCGCCTAGAGAGCCTCTGTACTGCATTTGCCAGCAGGCTTCATGGTCGGTCCATTTGCCTAATGGGTCGTAACGGCTTAGTGACGCTTCGATTGGGAGAATCACCTAAAGCACACGCTAAATCATTAAAAAATGGTCACCCGGATTTGCTATTTTTGCGCTTAATTTCCTTATCTGTGAGCCAGTCTTTGTTGGAACAATAAATTAAATGTTTTTTCTGGAGGCGGATAGTGCTGCGGTTTTGGCCGAGTAATAAGTCGAGCCATTTCTGATCTTTGAAAGCCCCAAACTCGTGTTGATTATGCGTATTTTCCAAAAAGCGGCAGCAAACATCAAGTCAATTAAAAAAATTGTTTCTTGAGAATTTTTCGGTTGGCGCAAGGTTTTCGAGATAATTGGCGAAATTTCCTTAAATACTATTCTTTGGCGTAAGTAGCGCAAAAAGACTTAAGTTCCTTTCAAGCATTTGTCACTCTTTTTCTTGCAAAAATTCGAACACAAGTATTAACTAACATGCTCATGATCCCTGAATTTCCATCTTAGATACTCAGATCGGTTGATAATCTTCCCTTTGCCATCCTGATACATCAGTTGCGCGAATTGGTCGCGGATCAGCTTCTCGCACTCAATCTGCCCGCCTGCATTGTAGGCATCAATTAATTCACCTCCTAAAAACATGCCACTTAATCTATATTGTTGATTTTGTAGGCGCATATACAGAGTGTTCGAATATTGGAGTGATTTCCGAGTATGCGGGTGCTTGTTCATCTAGCTCTTACCCTTCTTGTAGTTGGCCAATCGGTATAACAAACACTGGTCTTGATTGGAGCTTTGGCTAATTACTCGATCCAAAATTGAGCCTCCAGTGTAGTGCGATTTCTTGTGTTTGCAGCATGGCTTACATTGGCACCCACCCATTATTGGAACACGTTAATGAGCGTCCTTCATGAAAATTTCCAAATATCTAAAAAACTGTTTTTCACGCGCTCTTTGCCGCTTAGCAAATAAGCCAAAAATTCCTACTTACTTGCGTGTTGAGTGTTTTGGTCATTTAACAGCAGGCGCACAACGGCAAATACATCCAGATATAATTATTGGGCCGATTTGAATGCAAATCAAGCTCAAACGTTTTAGCATTATTTTCAAGCAAACTGTGCCCCTTTTCGACTACAGACTCAAACTGTGGCTTTGTTGTGGAATCCGAATCAATAAACATCGGGTCAGGGTAAGGAAATTATGTGTCAAGGGCCCACCACCCTTCGAGTGATACGGTATGGTACAAACTGCTTCTAAGAAAAGGTGGCCAAATTTCCTGCATCTTTAACATACATTTTCGCTATAAAGAAGGCGTATTTTAAACGTGCAAAACGCAGATTGTAATCATCAGTTTATAGTTTAAAGCGGAAGTTTCCTTTCCGTCTTATATTTAGCAATTTAACTAGCACGTTATAGTCTTTTTAGTATAGTTTCTTTAAAATTTAATAACTGACTCCGATTATTTAGTGTATTAATCATCTTTATCATTTCATAATCAAGATTTTATATTTCGATCTCGGATTTCCATTGTGTCCTATGATATTATGGACAGTTTGGCGAAGGGGCAAGGTTATTATTACTTGACTACAAGGCGCACGATATTTTCTAACTAGTGTCTATACATATACACTAGGTTTTTATAGCCTTCTTTTGAGGGACAAGAAAAATGTTGCCAAAAAGTAGCGTTTTATGCATATTTCTAGCACTAGTAAACTGAAGTTGCATCCCCATAATCTTTATAAATTTCAGGATCCGCAACGAAAATTCCCAGCTTTAATTAGTTTGCGCACAGAATGCAAGGATCAATCGCTCTCTTTGATTGGATTGATGATTATTAAACGAAAAATTTGCAACACGATTTTTTAAATTTCCTTTTAGCTTAACTCTATGACTTTCGTTTCGTTTTCCTGTGGCCCATTAGCTCAGTTGGTTAGAGCGTCGTGCTAATAACGCGAAGGTCGCGGGTTCGATCCCCTCATGGGCCAGAAATTTTTTTCTTCTTGCAATCTTCACTTTGCATTTTTATTTTATTTTTAATACCATTTGGAACATTTTGATCTTTAGCTACTAAACTTGCACATTGTTGAAAATAAAACCTTAAACACTTTTGCTAGGGCAGATAATTTATTTATATGTTTCAGTTGGCGCTACTAAACGAGTTAACAAAGTTTTTAATTTCAGGATTTTCCATCAACTTGTCTCGTCCCTTCTTCGTGTACTCGCAGGAATAATCGGGCAATTTGACGAGAAACGCAAAAGTGGCTCTCACTCCTGCATTCCAGTACTCCTTTGCTAGTTGACATGCATTTTCGGTTTGGGGCACCACAGGGAGCTACAAACGACAAGCAAATTGTAAAAGGCTGTTTGTCCATGATTCAGGGGCTCACCTCAATGGGAATTTGCGCTTTCACTTCCTCAATGTAGGGGCTTACAGCCGATTTCAGCCGCTTTCCTGTCTCGATCGTTTCGTCACTGTTCTTCCATACACCCTGCTCCCGTACGTAGTAGATAGCGGAGGCTGCCAGGCCCGCTTTAATGGCAAATCTGAAAAAGCCCCGAGAATAAACCTGAAGAATAGGGATATACGATTTTAAGGTGTTCGGGCCAAAAAGGGCTTGGGGAAAACTGTTCATGATGTCGACAGGGAGCGTCATTTAACGCAGGTACTTACTTGATCATTATGAGATTTTTAGTCAAAGGCAAAGGAAATTAAAGAGATTGTTGATGTTATGTCATACTAGCCGTAGATACCAGCGCATGTAAGCCCATAGATAAAGACGAGAGAGAAAGCGAGTGTAATGTTCTATGCTCGTTGTTTAAATGACATGCGCAATTGAGTGTGAGGTTACGTTGAACAAAATAAACTTCTATTTACCAAAACGGGTAGCTAGAAAAGAGTTATTATTATTATTGTATATATTATTTTCGAAAACTCGAATGTTAGACTGCGTCATAGATAAAGACCGGTCCAACGAGGCCAAACCATTTAGATCATATTCAGTCAATCCATTATTCAATTCAATCGTCTTTATCTATGATCCAATCATACGGATATTTACGTAGAGACAGTGAAGCAGAAGAGCGTGTGCTGTATGTGCGGCATTTTCAAATTGAAAAAAGCGCTGTAAACATTTATTCGTTACGAGTAACATTCGAGTTTTCGAAAATAATATATAAAATAATAGTAATAATAATAATAATAACTCTTTCCTAGTTACCCGTTTTGGTAAATAGAAGTTTGTTTTGATTAGCTTAACGTAACCTCAAACTCAATTGCGCATGTCATTTAAACAGCGAGTCAGGTTGGCTTATATGCGCTAGTTTGATTGATCTGAGTTGTCTTCATCTATGGATCTGCCAATGTCAATCGCCATTAGCTGACACCACGCTGACACTGTCTTTCAGATATCAGCAGTGTTTTCTATTTAATTTACCGGAATATGTGCTAAATATTTCCTTATTGCTTTTCAATTTCAGCAGTGTGAGAATCTTAGTGCACAAGTAGCGTTTTGCGGATTTTGTTACCAATAGCGGTTTGTCTGTGCAGAATGGAAAACCCAGCTCAAAGGCCTAGATGCTACTTCGATGTGGCAATTGGGGGCCTGAATAGTGGCCGAATAGTTTTCGAGTTATTCGCAGACGTGGTTCCTAAAACTGCTGAAAATTTCCGATCTCTATGTACGGGGGAAAAGGGCTTAGGCAGTGAGACCGGAAAACCACTTCACTACAAGGTATGGCTGCCTGCATTCATGCTTATCAGCTATTTAGCAGGCTTGTTTGTCTTTTATTTAATATATTTTGAATATATTTGGTTCATTGCATAGCACCTGGTATTAAAGGAGGCCATCAGTTTCTTTCGGTTGTTTTAATGGGGAAATAACTACACTTGCAAGTTTGTATTGTGTTAAAAATGAACCGTTCTGCTATACTGCTAATGTTAGTATTGGTACCTCTCATCCAGCCTCATTATGTCCTCTATTCGAAACTGCTGAACATGAGAAAGCTTCGCCCCGTTAAGCGATAATTTCCTACGTTTTTAACCGAGTTATTTATTTTTTACTATTATTAAATTTGAAGTAGTTACCGTTATTAATTGGGAAGTTGCAGTTTTTCTTCAGCTCAAGTGCAAGTGAAGCAGATTTTTAAAAATAAGATGCAAATTTAAGAAACAAATTCTTAACATTCCGTGGAACGTTCGGATCTAATGAAGTTTTTTTTTAGTTCTTAGTTAAAACTTTCAGTTTGACTTGGATTCTAATGAAATTTTATAAGTTTTTATCGTAGATCTTGCGTTTGACTATGGCTAACTTCGTAGTCGCTACCATCACTAATTTGCAAGATGCAATTTTGTATTTATCCCAAGTGCAAGTTAAGCGAATTCTTGAAAATCAGTTGCCAGTCTAAAAGGAAAAAAATAACTTGTGAGATACTTTTAACTCACTCTGAATAAACAGTACTAATTCATAAGTGGTAGAGAAGAAATTTATGGGGCACCCTAATAAACCCTAATAGTTATTGAGGAAATCACCTCTATCCAATCCAGAGCTGGCAGAGTTTATAACTCTATAACCCTTCTCATTGCAGGATGTGGTGTTCCATAGAGTGGTTAAGGATTTTATGATACAAGGAGGTGATTTCACTAATGGAAATGGAACTGGAGGCGAAAGTGTCTACGGAGGCACTTTTGAGGGTTGGTTGATGAACAAAAAAGTCAATTGAATCCTAAAGATGTTTTTTTTCAGATGAAAATTTTACTATGACCCATGATAAGCCAATGTTGCTCTCAATGGCAAACAAAGGCAAAGACACTAACGGGTCTCAGTTCTTCATGTAAGTGATTTCGATTTTATCCACTTTTGTCTCAGGAGTAATTTGTTATTGAAATTAATTAATTCAGGGAACCAGATAGTTTAGTGATGCTGCTGCATTCCCTCAGTTCTCTTAGAGCAGTTCCTGGGTTCTGAGAGCCTTGGCTTTGAACATTTACGAAATCTATTATTAGATTTAGAGTTTAGAATTGCCGCATCATAATCTAATCATATTTTCTTTCAGCTGATAGCCTTGTAAAGCAATTTTTAGATTTATTTTGACTTGCGTGTAAAATCTTGTTAACGCCTACAGAACTCTCATGTATAGTTCTGTAGTTGGTACTTTTTTCCTTCATACGAAACCAAGCTGATCAAATATTTTGCCTTGTTATGTTATAGTACAACGCAACCGGCCCCACATCTCGACAAGTAAGTAATTCAACGGTTTTCATCCAGCTAACAGTTTCTACAACCCGTTTGCTTTGTAGGGTTCATGTGGTGTTTGGAAGAGTAGTGAGTGGAGCGGATGTTGTGCGTCAAATTGAAAGTTTACCAGTTGATGCCAATAGTAGACCCTTGCAGGATGCCAAAATTATCAAGTGCGGAGAACTCATCAAGCAAGCTAAAGGTAGGACAGAGATGGGAGTGCATTCGCAGTGCATAACTTAACTCGTTTATTTGCAACAGCCAAGAAGGTCCGAAAGGAGGAGAAGGAAGAAGGAGAGAATAGCGATTCAGCCGGTTCAGATGAGGAAGTTAAAAAATCCAAAAAGCACAAGAAGTCAAAGAAAAGCAAGAAATCCAAGGAGTAAGTAGAATGGTTGCAATGGAAAGGGCAATTTGCATTGATAATTTTCAGAAAAGCCGATAGTGGCAAGTCCGAGGAGGAAGAGGAAGGCGAACTGACTGAGCCCCATTGGCTGGTAACACTAACAGACATCAAGCCGGAGGAAATCCCGGAAATTCCTTCCCAGAAATTCTTGATGCGAGGCGGCCCGCCTAAAGAGAGGGAAGAGAAGGATTCGAAAAAACGAGGTATTTAGAAGAGAATTTTCCTAATCCAGTAGTTTTACCATGAATAAAATCATAGGAGATCGTGACCGTGATCGTGATAGGGGAAGCGATCGCTTTAAAAGAGAGCGCTATGACAGTAACGGAAAAAACTATTCCAGAAGGAAACGCCCCTTTTTAACCACCAAAAGTGGCAGAACTATAAAAGGTCGTGGACGATTTGTAAGTTCAAACATTCCTTGACTTCCAACACATTTCCAAATATTCTTCTTCAGCGATTCCACACGCCTTCGAGAAGCAGGTCACGGAGTGTTACCCCGTTCTACTGGAGACAGGAGGAAAAGCGCGTTATTAAGTATTCCGAATTGGAGAAACTGGAGGCGGACAAAAGGAAAAAGCAAGAAAAGTTGGATATTCTTGCAAGTAAGCAAACATTCACTAATCGAGAAAATATTCTACGTGGAACCGATTGTTTCAGTCTCCCAAACACGGCGTCATTATCCATCTGGCACGCCACCAACTTCGCCGCCCAGACGAGGCGAGAAACACCGCGAAGTTGACTACAATGCCCTAGACTACGAAGACAACCCGTCAGAGGAGGATGTTCCTCGAAAAGATGTCCCAAGCCTTGTGCAGTATCCTTTGCCTGGATCCTACAAAGAATTTAAAAGCGTGGAAAAGAGAAACGACGCTCAGGAGAAACAACCGGAGCAAGTGGTCAACGAAAGATCCGATATTCTAGCTATGGCTTTAGGAGTGCAGATCAAGACGGGTGAAGATCCGCCCACAGGGGAAGTAGTCTTTAGCGGATATGCCAAGAAGCAACAGCAGCAGCAGCAGCAGTTGCAACAATTCGACAAGTTGGATCAGGTATTTACGAATCAATTACCCATAAACTTATCAGACGATTTAACGTAACAATGTGAGCAGGTTAATGTGCGCTTGATGAAAATGGCAGGACAGGAACCGCCCAAACATTTAGGCAACAACTGGCAAAGAGGCGGCGATTTAAATGAGAAAATCAGAGGCAGGAACAAGTTCGAGATTGAAAAACCAACCAATAATAAGGACAGGAGGTAAACTGAGCCACGCCGGTTTAAAACATTGCCTAATACAGTTTTTCAGAAATTTCCAAGATTCTGATTCTCATCCAAATGGGCGACAGCATCAAGAGCATCACTCTAGAAGACACGACCGTCCATCAGAGACCACAAGAAGCCGCATTCAGGTGGTAAACAAAGACCAAAGTGAGCGGGAAAATCGGGACGTTGACGACAAAGACGCTCGAAGCAGACAAGAAAGAGGTGGCCGAAAGCCCAGAAGTGCATCTCGCGATAGGAGCCGTCGACATCGCCACGGCAACAGCGAGCGCAGGTAAGTCTTCACAAATTTTCAGCGATTTGCTCTGATTCACCAGCGGATTCTTATAGGAGGAGCGAGGACAAGAAGGAAGCATCCAAGTCACCAGAAGAGGCAAAGGTCGAAAAGGATGTTCCGAAAAAACTGGACGATGCTGAGGCCGAAGAAAAATACAAAAAGCTCCTAATTCTGCGCAAGAAAATGGAATTACTGGAGCTGAAAAAGAAGCGCGATGAGGAACAGGTTGGGAGTGAACAGAGTTGGTTTTTTGCTGGTTTGGTAAAGGGGGATTTTTTTTAATTAGCAGCGCTTATTGGAAGAGAGGCACCGCAAGGCGAAAGAGGAGCAGGACATGTTGGAAAAGGCCAAGAAGGCCAAACGCGAAGTTATAGAGAAGGAAAAGCTGCTGAAGACCATGAAGGTGTTGCAGCAGATTGAGCAGAAAACCCCCGCTAGGAGAAGAGGCAGTTCCAGTTCTTTGTCCTCGTCGAGCAGCAGCGACGATTCTAGGGACAAAAAAAGGTTGGTAATCACGCCCTTTATCAGCTGCTTCTAATCCGCAGTACGAGCTTAAACTCTGAGCAAGTGTCGGTTCCAAGTCTCTATCCTCCTGAGACGGAGATCAAGTTAGGATAAGCACTATTGTGAGGACAAATAGCGGTTTATTTTGCGCATATTTTTACCATCATTGATTAGATTTTGTATGAGTTTCTAATTTTTTTCTTCCATCTTCTTCACCATTTGAATGCAGATTTTCCTGCACGAAAATAGTTCACTTTAACGCTCACAATTCACGGGAAAAACCGCGCAATTGAGTCAAATTAATAACGAAGCTGAAGAAAGCGATTCATCTTCCCAATTAATTGTTTACATTCGGCAAATTTTAGCTAAATTTTGCAACTTAAAATAGATTAAATGCGATGTTGTCGACTGTTCTCTTAAAAAGTGAATTGGCATGTTACGTGTATGGCGGAAAATAAACTGTTTACACTTACATCAAGCAATACTAATGATGAATGCTTAATTTATCAACAATGGAAAATAAATATAGGTTTTAAAATTTGTATAAGCTCGTGCTCTAACAATGCAATCTGGGAAATATTGCAAATCACCAGGAATAAACGCTCAAGCTGGCAATATGGCGTCTCAACTAATGACATCAGTGCCAAATAGCTTGGGACAGACTATACTTGTACGCTATAACTTTGGTCGCACGTGATCAATGACGAAATTTGACTACCAAAATAAAAACAAATATGCATGAAATTTGTGTGATAGTCGAATCATTTTTGTAGTGTTTTGGGCATTGTATATAATTCCAAAT